AAGATTCAGCTCGATCCTAAGACAATCAAAAGTCACTTGGTGGCGACTTCAGAGGGAGAGATCTCTGTCTCCAAATCACCATGACCAAGCTTTGTTTGAAGCTCAATCATGTAAACTGGTGTGAGGCAGGGTCAGAGGACCATGATTCTAACAAATGGTACGGTTATATTACTTTTAAAACTGTAGTCTTAATATTACCCACTAATCACAACAATAGAGGGTCAAAATCTAATCAGTAATGTAAAGCCAGGATTGAAACATTGAAGTGCGCCTTGCTTTCCGAGCGGTACTGCGTTCACAGGTCCTGTTACTTATATACTTCCGAGAATCTAAGTATAGCATAGTGATTGAAGCCTTGGACAATCCATGTTGAGCTAGATCCGCTCGAGATAAATGTTCTTCTGTGATCATTCTATGGTCGGTGATTTCCGCTTCTTTTAAAATCTGGCGAATGTGGTCTTTTCTATCATCTGGTAAAGTGCAGAACTGAAGGAATCCTTCGGTTCCATTTGCGGCGGCGGGATCATATGACAAAGGTGAAGATGACACATGAGGAAATGATTCGGGTGTATTCTTTCGTTTATGAGAAACATGTGGAGTTGTAGGTGGCTCGACATCGCCAGCTAGTTGCTTTTGAGGTGATCGTACTGCTTCACCAATGGCTCCCGCGAGGCTAACAACAAGTTGAGTGATAGCGGCAGGGGTGAAACTATTGGATTCAGACTTTTCAGTTGATGAAGCGGGAGGTTTGTTTTTGACCTTCTTGCTGAGGTCATACTTGAAATGGGCGGGAGGGGTATCCATGCTAACCTCATCTTGGTTCTTGCAAATGATACACCCAAAAGTCAGCTTACATAGGTAATGAAGAGAGGCATTCAACTTACTCGTAGCCTAGCCCACTCTTCTGCTTTATCAAGCGTCAAAACAAAGTATTGAGTGGAATCGGTTGGATCTGTCACAATCGGACACCTTTTGTGGTAGCGACCGTCCATCTTGTGGTGGTCAAGAAGGTCACTCGCAAACTTGTTCTCGTGATCGCCAGCCGTTTGTTCCGTATTGTCTGATCCACCGTCAGACTTTGGGTTTGAGATCAAATAAAGACACATCAGTCTAGTTTGAGAAAAGGAGTGGTTAGTAGACCGATAATCTCACCTCTTCAGAGTCAAACAAATCCTTGTCGATTCCTTGTTTCACCTGAAGCTTGTGCTTGCGCTCAGTTGAAGCCACAATTAGCTCGGTGCGAGCAGCCTGAAGAAATTCAAAAACAGATGAGACATAATGAGACCCCCTGGCTTGAGATAGGGCGGACTCACTTTTTCAGCTTGAGCTTTGACCTTGTTTGGATGAGGTGCAAAGTAGCTGATCCCAGCTTCCCGACCTGGAAACACAGCTTCGCCCTCTTCGACCCATTGTTGAACCTTCTCTGAACTTAAATGCTTTCAAGCCTTAAGAGTCTTTGGGAAATCAGAATGTGATTTGATGTACCAAGTCCACACACCAGGGTTCTTCTTGCTATTTGATGAAAGCTTGATCAATTTTTCAAGGGACTGCTTGTTGTCCTTGGCAAATTCAGCGCATTTTTCTTTGAGTTCCTCCAAATCAAATTGCTTCGAATTCCAAGGGATTACACATTCAGAGCATGAGATCTGTGAAAATCCTGACTTAGCCGTCTTGCAAGGAACCCAAAATTCACACTCGAAGTAGAAGTGATATGCAGTGTTTTCTTCATCGTCTTGTTTATTGTTGATATTGGGCTGTGGGCTCTGTAAGATTTGGAATAGTCAAAGATGAGTATGTTGGATAATGGACATGATAGGTGGAAAAAAGCTTGAAAACATCACCTGAACAGTCACAGAGTCCGGGGAATCAACATTGACACCTTCATTGGCCAGTGGATTGGATGGGGAGGAACAATCAAGAAAGATTGGGTTGACGTGCTGATCCTTTGATTTCATGATTGAGTTCTGAAAAAGAATGAGTGGTAAGGGGATTGGCAAATTTGGGATAGGCAATGCGGCTGCTCAAGCTCCAGGCCCACCGCAGTGACTGCGGTGAAATTCTGGGCTACATTTTATTTTTATTTTTTTCACCCCGGGCTTCCTTTTTAGCAAAAGTAATAAATAGATCCAGTTTTTTTCAACAAGCAAGGAATCCTTGTAGGTAAGAGTGGATTTTCAGGTTTTGATTGGCTAAAAAGAGAACCATTGGAATTGTGAGGCTTTCATCTGCATTGTCCCTCAGGATTGTTTCCATGACGTCCAGCTGTGGACCTACACACGGCCGGTCTCCGGTCATGACATCCAGAAACATCTGAGGCCGAAAATTTTTACCTCCTGGTGTATACTTTCATTATCTCGCCTCGCCCTCAACTTTGATTGTTATAAATAGAATGGATATAATTAACTCTTGAGTTGATATATACATATGTACATACAGTCAAACCGGAAAAAGCTTGTCACAAATTCCCCGCCAAATTGCTCGAGTTTTGCGGGCAAGATCGGTGAAGCTTTTCCGATTTGACTGTATTTGTTCTCACAATTTTTTTTCTTTGCCATTGCGATTTGAAAGATAAGATTTTCTCTTAACCGATGGATGAGTGTTGGATCGATGATTCAGAGCGGAGCGGAGCTTTGTGGAGAAAGAGATCTCATGATTTACAAGAAAAGTTTTAAATACCCCTTTAAAGTTTTCGCTGAAGCCGCCGGCGCCGGCGCCGGCGCCACCAGAGAACAGAGAATAGTGAACAAAAAGATAAGTAAGATCTGATGATGAGAAAGATGAGCCAATAAGGTTTTCTGTTGGTTTTCGTATGAAAGAAATCCTACATGAGATTCTATTGATGGATTCTTTTCTCAGATTGATCAAAACTTGATTGAGATCATAAAGGGAAGCACAGAGATAGAAGTTAATCAGACAAGGTACCATGGATTGTTTTTTGACTTTGAGGGATAGGACCCTGTGCCCAACCCATGAAGAGATTCAAAAGGAAAGAAGAATCCCCTTGAAAGTTCACTCAAAGAGAGCGGAGGTGGTCGCGTCGGAAGAGGGGCTTACATAAATGGTGAAGCTTAAACAAAAAGAAGTGAATGAGATCAGGTTTCGATCAAACTCATTCGGGTGTGAATGGGATTTTATGATTACGTAAATTGTGAATAAATATCCAACATGAAATGTGTTTCTGTGATTATCCATTGAAGTGATCGAGCAGTCAAGAATCGAGATTGTACAGATGATGATGATGATACTCTGAAACCTTGTTATGATCAAGAAAAATCAAGGTGCTGGAGTCGAAATCAAGATGCTTGAATCCAACTTGATTCATCCCGATTCCCGACCGAATCTGATGATGTTCTGCATACAGAATTTATGCAGCGAGCTTTTCTTCAATTCACCAGTTTTTTCATATTTCAGACTTTCAAGTAGTCAAGCTGGAGTGTGTTATGAACCCCCTTTCAAATTCGATTCCTGATTGCTCCCCCATTATTATTTTTGACACTGACATCGTCCGAGTCCATCCGAGACCGAGCAAGTCCGAGCCGAAGCGGTGCAGTGAGATAGGAATTCAATGGATGAACATGAGAATTGGAAATTGGATTTGAAATTAACCATTAAAAATCAATCGATATCAGATGGTTTAAGATTTTTGACAGATTTCAAGGTTTTTAAGGTTTTGACTTGATGGATTAAACTGTCTAATAGACTCTTAAGGTTTTGAACCACTCTTATCTATCTTATCTATCATGTTCTAAGTATGCAATTAATTTGCTCAACAGTCAAGAGTACTTACTCGACTGAATTTACATACTATTTTGTATATAGGATTCAGTTGGATTTCGATTGCTGATTAAATTCCACTTTCCATCATTTCCATCATTTAAACCCTTACAATCCTTCGCTACCTTTTTTTCATATCACATTCGTTTTTTTTTGACTCTTATCTTGGAACTCGACTTCAAAGGTTAAGCTCAAATCAATAAATAGATAGAAATTGATTGATTGATTGATTGATTTGATTGAGATTTGAAGTTTAAATTTGGAAACCTTACAACTTCACCAATATAAACCCAACTCGTCTTTTTTTCTCGATCGTCAATGCTTCTGGAAGTACAGATTCACCATAATCTTCGATCATCATCACCATCATCCAAAATCAAATCCATTGGAATTCTACACTTCACTTGATTCCTTTACTATATATATACCTTCGAGTTGAGCTGGCTGGCTAGCTATCAATTCCGATCTTGATACCACCCACATCCACCATCTCATACAGGTCCTTTCTTCTGATCTTTACCACCTACATCACAACATTTCAGCGCCATCCATCTTCATCGGTTGGTTAGTACTCATCATATCATTCTCTAGCTCTCTTTTCCATTCTGCTTCATACTCCAAGAACCACAACAACCTAAAGTATTAGTAGATAGTCCAGATGAGATCTTGAAATGGTTCATCTCATCTGATATCTTCTAATTCGAGAATACTTGAACAAGATGTATCAAGTCTATTAAGTTGAAAGCAAATTTAAACTAGATTGCGGTTCAAGCCACTTTTACTGAAATCTTTTTCACTTTATATCAATCCTAAATCTCAAACCAAAAACTTACAATTCCATTTTGTAAAACTTTCAAGAATCGATTGAATTTCCATTTTGATTACCGACACCGTTTACCAAGATCTATTATTAACCTCTAACTTGTTTTTTTTCTTTATTTTTGTTTTAGAAATCATTCTTACCTACCAATTGAAGCATTGGACTTTTTTTGGATATCCCAATTCGAATCATAGAATCCAATCCATCTCTGAATTCAATCCGATTGTTTTTGATCAATTCTTCGTTTCAGCTTGAGATTCTCTTGATTCTGTTTTTTGAACTTCAACTCGATCAACAAACCATTATTTGAATCGATAAATAGATAGATAGATTAGTTGATTATTTCAAACTTTTACTTTTCTTTGTGCTATCAATCAATTCAAGATTATCAAGACTCTTGACTTCCATGCAATCCGATCATCATCATCTTAACTCTGATTCAACATCACATCGATCAATCATATCAAAACCTATTCCACCACCTATCTCGATCATTCCTTTAAGATCTAACCATTCATTAGAACAAGCCGATCAATACTCAACTCAAAACGAAGAAGATCACAACATGACCGCTCGTTGTAGTCAATTCCCACCTGATATTCTCAACTCTCGATCGATTTCTTCATCTCATGATCCAATTCATTCATCATCTCGTTTTTCAAGTTTTCTAAACAATCTCAACAATGAACCATCGACTTGGTCAGACAATCATCATCCTATCGCTTCATCATCTCATCAAACTCAATCTTTTCGATTAGATTCACCTGTCTCTGCGAGTACAAACGAGCTGAGCTCAAGTTGCTCTTCTTTAGCTTCGTCTAATAGTGCCTTCTTACCTAGCACTTCTAAATCTTCAACTTCACTTGATTCATCTAAATTCGATTCACCTCCTTCTCATCAATCTAATCCTACGGTTCCGTCTGAATCATATTACCCTTCTCTCAATCCACCCAGTTCAAACTCACTTCAATCCAATTACCCTTCTTCAGCTTCAAACTCAACTCAAGCTAATTATCCTCCTACCACCCCTCAAGGTTACCCAACGTATCAAAATTATCAAAATCTACCTCCTCAACCTCGTCACTCTTTACCCATTCAGTATCCTAATCCAGGATCTAACCCTGAGGCTGTAGCGGTAGCCCCTCCTGCTGCAGCCTTCACCCCAAGTGATGGTTCACCACCTCTTTTACCTCCCAACCTCTTTTGTGCTGACTCTGGTTCGAGGCGTCATACTGTATCGGCTTTTATGGCACCTTCTGCTCTTGAAATCGGTTTATTTGCTCGACATGATCTAGAGGATACGATGTTGAAAGAAGAAAAACGTAGAAGGGTCAGTCTTGTTCGTTTGCACCACTTTTCTTTTGTTATCTTTATTTTCTCCACGCGTCATTTCAAATGGGTTTGCCCTGTCACTACAAGAAAATATCTTACTTGTTTCGTCTCAGAGACGAGAGAAGACATAAGCGGAATAGTCAAACAATCATTTGGACCACTTTGTTGACTCGATTGATTTTTATATTGTAGAACAAAGAATCCAGTCAGAGATTCCGAGATCGGACTCGCGAACGACAACGAGAGAAGCAGGAAAGATTAGAATTCCTGGAGCGAAGGATCAAGGATTTGGAAATCCAACTTGTACACGCCAAGCGTAACAAGAGCAATGCGAATTCACCTCGTGCTACTGAAATCATCCAACCACCTAGTCGACTGGTAGGAGAGAATGAAACTGCCCTTACTGCTATGCAGCGATTACACCAAGAGAATGAAAGTTTGAGAGCAGCTTTGAAGACAGCTGAACAAGAGGTGAGTAATTTCAAGCCAACTAGACGCAAACCCTTCTGATGCTGAGGTATGTCAACACCAGATCCAACGACTCAGCCCTGGAGGAACGAGTGCGTTCAGTATCGCTCAAGTGTACGGATCACTTCCACAACTCTCGCCACCAGCTTCAACAGGTGGTGAATCATCTTCGCCGCCTACTGCGATGGACCGCGAACATACCAATTATTTTACTTCGACTCGTACTTCAAGTCCTAGTTCTGATCATCATTATCCTCAACATCAGCAGCAGCAGCACCAACAAGCACCACAGCATCTTGGGCTCAATAACAGTACCTCTACTATCAATAGTGAATGGGAAGCTTCTGATTCAATGGTTAATTGGAATCTTGATCCTCATACACTTTCTCCACCACAAGACCCATTTCATTCAACTTGATTCTTCTTTCTCTTCCTTTTTCTTTTTTGATGGTTCTAGTCATTCTTTTGATGACTTAATCAGTCACCTATTTCTTTTTTTTCTTCTTCTTATTTATTAGTATCTTTGTCAGTGGCAAGAATTTGGGGTATCTTGGGATTTTGAAACATCATTAGAATCTTGTAAGATAGATTTTTTTTTTCAAAATGTCTTTCATTTGTTTTTGGGATCAAGTGGGTGTGGGGTTTACCTTGTTTGAGGGGAAAGGTTTTCAAAAAAAGAGGTATGAATTATCAATGCCTTTTGATTATAGCATTTTTTTTCTTTTCTTCTTCTCTTTGTCTTTCTTTTTTAAAATTTCATGTTTTTTTCTTGGTTTTTCTTTTTTTTAAGTTTTGGGTTTTTTTAAAGAAAAAGTGGAAAAGAAAAATCAGGAAATCAGTTTATAATTTTAGTTTTTGCTTTTTATTTTCAAAAAATAATCTTTTTCTTCTTTTTTTTGGGGAAGAAGGAGGAGGTTTAGATAAATCATCTTTTTTGGCTGGACCTTTTATAAACTTGTTGATTTTTTTTGTATGATTGTAATTTTTTTTGATTTCTAAACACTCATTTGATTTGATTTATTTTGATTTATTTTTGTTTGTTTTTTAAAGCTTCTGGTTATTGCTTTTTTCTTTTGGATTTTCATTTTTTGATTTGAAGTAACATTAAAAATGTGAAACAGTTGAATATATTATTAATTCAAACAAAAAACAAAAGAATTTGTTGGTGGTTTGCAGTGAGGTATTGAGTTTGGTGAGTTGGTTTGGATATGAATGAGAATCAAGAGTGTGAAGGGGTGTAAAGAGACAATTGTTTGACTGAAAGTACTTGTTAGACAGCAGAAGATCAAGATGGTTGAACTTGAATGTTGACTTGCAGACCCCTTTTATTTAAAGAGATTGAAATTTTGGACCTAATTGTGCATTACCACACCAATGTCCCACCAGATCACAAGCCTTGGGAGTCTCCACTTAATTTCACAGGTGGATCTGAATACTTGATACCACATGGATCACAACATGTAGATTGAGACATCTTGGTCCTGACAATTGGAAGTTAACCATAGCCTTCCTTTTTTGATATGATTGGATGAGGTTCTTGTCAAACCAATGGGACTTGTTGGGAAAGTTCATGTGGTTTCTCTATCATTTCATGCCAGGGATGCAGGTATGAGTCTGAGTGTACTCTACTCATACCCACTCATCACGGGTTTTGCCCTGGTACCACAGTACAAGTACTGCCAAACCGTGCTGTACAAGTTTCATCCACAACCCTTAAACCCACTTTAAAGGGTTAACTGATTATGCCGGACTCATATATGCTCTCTCTCTGTGGCCAATACCCACTAACTGATTCCTCACCACACGGTTTGTTTGGATGAGTACCCTCAAGGTATACTCAGCCAAACAAACAAAGTCAGCCAAACCAAGATTAGGATATCAATCTCTTCACATTCAACACAATCTAGGATATCAAACCGCTTAGGACACCCCCACAAACAATATTCTTTATCAACCTTTGAGGTTGTCCACCCCTCCTTCATTCAGTTATCTACTCTGGACTTGTTTTTTTAACACCAAATCTACCCATCCAGTTGGTCATCGTACAACACTTGCTCAAGAAGTGTGGCTTCTTCCTTCTCCAATTCAACACTTCATCAGTTGTTTGTTTGGGTGGCTTCTTCCTTCTCCTTTCAAACAATCTATTTCTATTATGGGTCAAGATTCTTCTGGCGCCCACATCAAGTTATGGCTACCAGTCTTGAAGTGGGTCAATTCTGAGATGGAGAACCTTTCCAGTTCCTTGGACAAGTGGCAATATGACCCCTGGTGAGGTTTAAAACTTGATCGAGCTCATAATATCTCTCCCTCTCTTTCCCTTTAATCCATTTCCAATTGGCTTATTTCAAATTCTTTACTTTGCTTTAACAGACCTGCCAAATTACTAGATCTCATCATGCCTTGACATGTCCAGATATCACCTTCCTCAGGTTCCCCTTACGCCCGGCGGGGTACAACCCCAGGTGCTGCAACTTCTTGTGTCCCGTCTTTGACTTGTATCCCCTTGTCTTTGTCTTGTGTCGTTTCCGCTCCTTGTCTCCCATTGTTCACACATGTTCCTCCTGACTTGCTGGACTTGACAGTTGCCATACGACCAAAGGTGTATATAGTACCAGATGCAACCTCTCAAGACGGTGGAAACACCATGCTGAGAGCAAATCGCTTCCGTTCAGACGTTTACCTCTACTTTGACGTAAGTCTTTCAACAAATCCAAAATCTTTAAATTGGAGCCAGACTGAGAGTCTTTCTTTGCTCATGCTTCTAGGAACCTTTGCCCTTGACTGACGTGACCAAGGGTGACAATCCAAAGTGCTACCTTTGCCTTCACTGCCTGTGAGTTGTTTTTCCCAAAGTTTACTATCAGGCTGGAGCTAACGGCTGTTACACCTTTTTGCAGTGTGGTCCTTTCTGTCACAGGTTGTCCTAACTCAAACCTTCACAAGCACCACCGTAGGTGTCTTGGTTTGGCGTTGGCCTGGTTCAATCATGCTCCTGGCAGCATTGCCCCCAATGAAGACCCAATCACAGCCGCTGCTCACAAGAAAGAACTTTGAGGCCTGCTTGTTGGAGCAATCATTAGTAAAAATCTACCTTTCCCAATTTTCAAAGGCAACCGTATGGAGAAGGCCCTCCGGGCAATCTGCCCCTCCTTTCATTGGCTTGGTTGAATGTCGGTCAAGTCGGACTCTGAGGCTCTGTTCCTTGATTTGCGGAACAGAAGCTCATCGACAAGGTCTCCCATGTACCCGGATCCATATCAACAGCCACAGATTGTTGGACTAGTGCTGATTTCTCACATACTTACATGGCCATTAACGGATTTTTCTTCAACGCTAACGGCAAATTCTGCCGTTGACTTCTTGCTTTTAAGGTTAGTCATCTCCCTCTAACCTGTTTCATTAAGATGAGTTTACTGACTGGTTTTGATGTTCAGACCCTCAAAGGGAAACACACCGGCAAGAACCTTGCCAAGGTGTATTGGAAGGCTCTTGACCATGTTGGTGCAGTTTGCAACCGTTTCTCAGTTACTGGGGACAATGCCTTGTCCAACCGTTCCATGGTGGAATTACTCTCCAACTGCTATGCCATGATAGGAATCTACTGGCCATTTGAATTGCGCTTCCACAGGTGCATGTGCCATGTCATCAATTTAGTCGCTAAGGACTTTCTTGATGGCATGGGCGAACTGACGGACGCGGATCTGGAGGTGTTTGAAACCTCCGGTTTGGCTGAACCACCCCTCGCTTTTGAACCCGATGAGATTCCAAACTCCAATGACAACATTCCCATGGATGCACCTTCTAATGTTCAGCCCCACCCCAAATGATCTGATTCTCTCAAAGTTCATGGGCCAACACAAGAAGATTTTGATATCAGTCAGGAGACCTATGAAGATATAGTCAATGCTGCCAAAGACTCACCAACTGTTTCCGGTCTTGGACTTGATTTCGGCGATATAATGTAAGATTCTGTTGGGGGCTTCTGATTTTTTCTTTAATAAATAAATCCTATTAAATCTTGAAAAATCGTCGATAAGTACTAGAACATACTTGATACCTTGACCAGTGACCGGAGTTATTTGAAGCAGATCAGAGTGAATTTTTTCAAATGGTTTGGAAGCACTGGGAATGGGATTGGAGTGTGGAGAGTTTTTTAATTTACAGCGAAGACAGATGAGACACCCAGTGCTATCTTGAACTGCAGATGATTTGATGTCATTTAACTGAAGAAATTTTCTTAAGTAGACATCGGAGGGATGACCAAGGATGATATGCCAGTCTTTGGCTTCGGTAAAATTGACTTCTTGAGTCATATTGAGAGAGGAGGTGTTTTTTGATACGTACAAGTCGCCTTCTCGAAAGAATCGAAAAATGATTTTGTCGCCTAATCGAACTTGTACTTTTCGGTGAGAATGTATGATATTCATACCATGATCTTCGAGCTGAGTTGTTGAGATGAGATTTCTGGGGCCATTTTCGGAGTAATATACTGGATGAATAATTGTACCACCAAAGTTGAGTTTGCCGACGTGAGAGATTGCGACAGAGCCTCCATAAGTGTTGAGAGACTTGGAGATAGGGGCGGGATTGATCAGTAGATCTAGGTTGTTGACAGTGGATTTGGTGGCTCCTGAATCATAAACCAGTTGAAATTTCTCAGTTCCAAGATAGTTAATAGAATCAGTCAACATAAATCCTGAATTTTCGATATCATCAGAAAGATTATCTTGAACATGATCGACTTGTTCTTCGTCAGAGTCGGAATTTTGTTGAATGAGGTTAGCTTCAGACTTCTTAGATAAGTGTTGAGCGACGAGTCGAGCGACTTTTTCGTCAATTGTTTCAAAATTTTTGACAAATGGTTTTTTAGTCATAACGATACTTTTAGGATTAAAGGTTGAAGAGTTAGGTTTATTTTGAGATGAACTGGGCTTTTCGTTGTTTTTTCCTTTGACTTTGGAAAAATTAATGACATCTTGTTCTTGTGAATCTCGACAATTATGTTCCATAATCATCTTATTGTAGCAAGTTTCAAAATTAAAAGGACTTAAATCCCAGCAGTTCTGAATGAGAGGAGTAAGTGTTTCGTCGTCGTTGAAACTTAGGAGGAAAAAGATAGCTGCAAGTTCAGTTGATATGGTGAGAACAGCAGGAGTGGTGGCGGCCAACGATGCTGTTAAAGAGGAATAATTGCCAAAGAATTGGTCGCAATGTTCTTGAATTGAACCTCCAGGAATGTAATGGATGGACATCCAATGTTGAACTTTCATTCCGATCATTAAGATTGAAGAAACTCCACAGGATTTCGATAGAGCGGTGTAAGCGTTGAAGAAACTTTTACTATTCTTGAGTAGAATTGCTCGAAGTTCAATCGAGACGGTTTCGAAGAGCTTATTAATTGCCCACGCGTTTTTTTGT